GAACTTAAAACAATGTCCTCAAATAGCACTCACACCCTGTAATATTTATCAATACGATATTTTTATAAACCTATAATGAATACATTTATTTTTAAAAAGTCTATCATAAAATCTATTCATAAAACTATAATTCATAGAACATTTTTTTATAAATCTGTATTTATTACCAAATTTTTTATCAGCCAAAAATGAATATCATATTTTATTGAACTGATAATTAATAATTCTAAGGAAAAAATAAAATTAGAAGGATTTCGCAATTGGAGAGCCAAGTCCAAATTTCAATCGATTTCGTTACATACACTTACATGCTACTACCCATGGGAAAGATATGAATGCGTCTCTTCTGCACCCAGCTATGGATAAATAACAGGACAGACTGGGTTCTATAGCCTTGGGTGGTAATCCGTCTAGAAGGAGGAAAAACTCTGAATTCAAAACCTCCAGCTATGGGTTTAAAGAGTAGAGCAGTCTGGGCTCTGCAGCCTTGGTTATCAACCAGTCTAGGAGAAGGACAACTCTGAATTCAAAACCGTATCTAGCCCTGGTAAAACTAGGGAATGGATCTGGGAATTATATATATATATATATATATATATATATATATATATATATATATATATTATAAAATTAACTAATTTAAAATATGGTTTCTTCGCTACACAGGAATTACCATCTTTCAAAAACCGAAGCTAAAAACTTCAAATTTAATTATATAATTAAATTAAAAGTATTAGTGCTGTTTCACCTTCAAGCGAATTTTGGAATTTTGTAAAAAATAAAAATATCAATAAGAACACCGGATTATATATCTTAATGTTCTTTCTTTTTATTATATATATATATATATATATATATATATATATATATATATATATATATATATATAGAGAGAGAGAGAGAGAGAGATAGATAGATAGATAGATAGATAGATAGATAGATAGATAGATTTCTGACAAACCTGTCATCAACGGACTAATAGGAGGAGGGATGGTCCGTTAATGCCGATTGTCCGTAGATGGAAGGAACTTTAATGTGTCACTGATAGATTCTTATGCTTCCTTTTTACATTTTTCCATTTGCTTCGATGTCATAATGAGGGCAGAACAATTAATATATTAATCCAAATAACAAAAGTAATAGATTTCTCACCGTTACTTTCTCACGCACGTGCTAATGTATCGTACTTTCCGCCTTTGTTTACAACTGAATGGCCCGCCACTGCCGCCAAGCGGTCACTTTGAGAGCTAATACGACTCATCCCGCAAATTTTAAAATATAACTCTGCCGATTTGGAATTTTTTTGTATGTTGTCTTCAGATTTTCTCCGTTGCATCTGAAGTTCGTTGATGGTGGGTTCCTAGATACGAAGTTTGACTATATATATATATATATATATATATATATATATATATATATATATATATATATATATATATATATATACATTTGAGCAAATTAATTGAAACAACTGCTTTAGTTAACTTTCTTTCACCATACGGTCAGATTTAGACCCACTGGAGTGACAGGATGTAATCGATTTCTATTTTTTCCTCAGATTAAGTCATTTGCAGTGGTGTGCAGTAATATGAATCTATTTTCGTGATGTATGATGAAATTTGTTTGACCTTGAAAATATTGCGTCACCCGTGATTGCATCAGATTTTTATCACGCCCAGATACTATTGTCTCGACTGTCGATTAGTTGTCCTACGGCCATTGTCTGCGATGGACGTTACTCCAAGGAAGCGTACAAAAATTGTAACGCTGCACGAACAAGCCTAATCAGTGAGAAAATCAAAGTACTATAGACTGGCACGGAATCTCTCTTGATTTAAATCAAGAGAGATTTCGGGCCAGTCTATAGTAGTCTATAGAATCTGTGGTCAATCTAAAACGAACGACTTTGTGTAATGAACATACGAAATACTAACGTGCACTGTGTCGTATTACATTGGAAAAATACGAAAAAAAGTAAATTATAACGGAATTCGTTTTGTTTCAATTAATTGGCACAAGGGTGTGTGTGGGATATATATATATATATATATATATATATATATATATATATTTTTGAACAATAAAAAATATTAATATATATATATATATATATATATATATATATATATATATATATTTTGAACAATAAAAATATTAAAAAAAATTAAAATCTTCAGACACACTGGGTTGTAGATTAATAATCTTTAATTATTATTATTTCATTTAGATTCCTCGACTAGTTTCGGCCAACATGACCATCATCGGGAGAAGAAATATCTCTGCTTGCTGCTAGCAGTGAACTACAGAAATTAATGCCTTGATAGAGAAAATGAACCTATATATATATATATATTTTTTTTTTTTTTTATAAAGTCCTAATCAATTCCAAACCTTTTTTTATAATGCTATAGATTGCGACGGAAAATACCTTCCACATTTTAAAGTGTCACGTGTATGGTGCTAGCGAATTTAGCCAAGTGGCAATGGTGTCTTTATTTAGCTAATGTTTTATAATTTTTTCAGTTACCATCATGGTTAGAATTGGTGCACACTTAGCGTTGGCTGTTGAAACTATTTTTTTTCGTTTTAATGAATGTTGAATTTGTAATTGCAACACAGAGAGGTTTTCATGCACATTTCATGTTATGTCAAAATGATGTTGTCCCGGATCGATACTGATTGAAATTTTCAGAGCCACGTGTTCAGCGGTTTGAAAGAAAGTCACCTTGATGACCGCGTAGCAATCGAACTTCCGGGTGACAGAAACTTTAGAAATCGTCTGCAACAGTGTATAGCAAATGGAGGTCACCATTTGAAGGATGTCATTTTAAAACCTAAATGAATTAAAAAAATATAGCCCTTCGTTTAAACAACAGTGGAATATATTTTTTAAAATAGCCGTCAACTTAGTATTTTGCTAACATATCAATGTAGGTATTTCTGCTGCACTTTATAAAATACTAGATATTTTATAAATTTTATAAATTAATACCGTATCGTACGTCGGATTCGGTCATTTACGAGATTAAGTTGAAATCTTCTCATCCTAATCAAGAATGCATTTTTAAAAAGAATCAGCGTTTTAGAGGATTTTCAGGAGATCAGAACTCTAACAAAATCCACATACTGGTTAACGAGCTATTCCGATTGACCGGTATTAATGAAAAATGAGATTGCCCACAAATTATGGCTTTGTGCCAACTTAAGCTAAGGTCACCTTTAAGCACCGTTATTAAAATAAGAATTCTGACTGCTCAATTTTTTTTGGTTTGACTGATACGTTGTTACTTAGCCAACAAAGTATTGATCTTCTCCTAGACTCCCTATCAACCAAGGCTAGAGGGTCTAGCCTAACCTGATGTTTAAACCAAAGTTGTAGGGAGAGTAAATAGTTTCAGGTTATTCCAAAAGTTATTAGTGCGAAAGTGAATGAAACAGACGAACACAGAATTTGAACTCAGTTCGCCGAGTCTGTTTTTTGCACTGATAACCGTTATGCAACCCGCAAATACGTCATCGAGATTCAAACTTGACATTTACATAAAAGAAAAGAAAAGAAACCTATGGAGAGCTACGATAGCCTACACTCTGGAGAAACACGTCATTAAAAAATTGTAGCAGAGATCGATCAGCTCCAGGGGAATCGTAATCAGTAATGTATAGCCGCACACATTAGGATGTGAAAACGCGATTACTTAAAGGGTGTAAATGAAGTCAGGCTACGTCAATCAAAATATCGGTTACAATCTCAGGAGAGCCCTACTTTGGCAAAAGAAAAAAAAAACGAACGAGAGATGAAGTATTTAGAAGCAGATAGGCGCATGCGCACAATAGCGGTTTGGCATCCGGTCTTCCTATTTGCAAAGCGGTGATCGAATGTCAGGAAAAAAACACAAAGTAGGTAAGTGGAGTGAAAGGGAAGGGAAGATGGGATTATTTTCAAAGGGAGCAGTATCCGTTGTAAATCAAAAAAAAAAAAAAAAAAAAAAAAAAACTGGGAAGAAAATAGAACAGTGGAGAGAAAAAGAAAGGGGAATATATAAGAAC